CCCTCGCCCATTTCTTGACTCATCTTAAACTTCCCCTGTAACCGCTCAACCCGAATCTCAATACCAATGATATTTTTCTTCAAAAGCTCCACATAATTAACCGGTGCATCAGAGACATTCCACGCGTTCTTCTTATCACCCCCAGTATACCCCATGATGCCCTCCTCAGACTGCCGCGACAGATCTTGAATCTGTTTTTGCAAAAATGCACCCGTTTCCTCTGCCTTGGAATTGCAGTACACACTGATCTTGCCATAGGCCTGCACAGCGGAGTAGTTCCACGTCGGGACGACCTTGCCGGAAACCGGTTTAGTTTCTGTGTAGAATTTGGGTGTCACGTAGTGGTGGTGTGGGCCGTTGAAGAGGATCAGGACTTCGTCCGTGAGCTCGAGTTTGTTATTGCCTGCTGCATGTTGCTCGGCGAGGGCTTCCATTAGGGCTTTTGCTTGTGGGTTCTGCTTCGCCATGTGACCGCGCAGGATACCAGTCGGGATTGTGTCATCGCTTTCGGTTGAGGGAGGTACATCGAGAACGAAGGGGATGTGGCTTGATTGGATGAAGGAGTAGATTGGGGATTTGATCGCCGTTGTTAGGATGCCCAATGGGTTGTCGCGGATGAATTGCTGGAGAACGGGGAGTTGTCCCTCGGCGTGGACGGCGCGGAGATACATTGGAGCTGTGAATTCCAAGGAGAGAGGGCCTAGAGGCAAGTATGTTCAATGATCCTCTTTAAAGTACATATAGAAGAGAAAAGAAGACATTATAAATATGTGGGAGTTCATCAATATCAGTCATAGCATAGGGCGTGGTTTAGATCGCATCTCACTGACTCAGGGCTGTCATCGTGTCTCTGTGTTGAATGATTGGTCGCCGGCACCGAAGTATCACCCCTGGGCCCCACCTTTTCCTGATAAACCCAGGAAATCACAACTTAGAGTTTTAACTCAAAAAAATTGCCTGTTCTGTCAGTTGTGGATATAATTCCATCTATACTAGCAACATTGAGACACATTCTATTGACAAGCTGAACTCATAACCCAACAGAGTAAACAGCTCAATCCACGCCACGGGACAGAAGCCTCGACCAGTTACTACTCAAGTGGTACGCCGCCATATTTGCCAAAAGTCAGAATGTGGTGTTGGGGTTGGACAAAACCTGAACGCTGACATACAATCCGAACTCCCTGGGCAACCAGATTTGTAACTCCACTCTGTTCATAGAGACTGCGCCATGCTGCGCGACGGACACGCCGTGAAGGTGGAACTTGTCCGGCTGCATGCCTAGAATTCGTGCGGTGCTAGATTTGCCTGCAAAAGATGCAGATATGATAGACGGCTGACCCCCAGCGTGAGCCATCATTTCCCTTTCATCGGCAAGACTGTCTAATGCCACCCGCGGCGAATGAAAGCGAGCGTCTTGAATCACTTAAGCATCCGACATGTTTGTGGCCGATGATTCCGTGAGTGACATGATAGCCAGTGGCATGAGTTCTAGAACCCGTCTGATGCGACATTACCGATGATGGGATGTATCTTCATATATCGGAAATTGCATGGCGACCTGGCAGATCTTAATACTTTCGGCGGCTAATTGATTTTCTGTCAATTATGACCGTTGTGGCGGAACACTCGAGGACCATCTCAGGTTGCCTCGGGGGCCTTTTTTCAAAGTCTTTAGTTCGCTTAGATATTTCGTAGTTATCCGTCTTTAAGCCAAAAAAATAAAAGGTCGAAAGAGAACTTCGTAGCGACTCTGACTAAAGCATTTGATATTATCATGAGTAGGGATGACCGAATCAAGGTACTATACAAAGTGTGCACAAAAACAGGAAGAATGACGCCAACCAATAATCCAAAATGCACCATACACACCGAATGATATTTTGGGGGAAAAACCGCTAAACAACAGAGCTCACCTGGGCAGAGAACCAATATCACGTAATACGCGACACAATCTCATCCTTCCCTAACCGCTCCAAGACACCCTTCTTCAATCCGAGGAACCGTTCAATATCACCACGACGCATACCCTGCTTATCACGCATAGTCAACACCTGTTGGATAGTCAGGGCATCCAGGAACGATCTCCCGGGATGACCCGCATGACCGAAGTGTTCAGCTTCTTTTTCTGCGGCCTCCATGAGACGTTGTCTAGCAGTGACAACTAGCAGTGCCGGGTTGGAAGCATGCGGGAAGACTGTTTGCATTGAGCCGGGGCGGTTAAAGGTGCTTGAGTTTGAGAACGTAGGTGATGGATTGACGGGGCCTATTGATCGGAGGGAAGCGGCGAAGTCAGGGTCTCGACCGTCCATGTCGATGGCTGGAAATTCATTAGTAAATGTTGCATTCCAGATCTTGCATGTGTTGCATAGAAGAGACTTAAAAGAATCGCAGGTGAGTGCACGTACCATCAGACTTCACGCTGGATGCTTGCTCCTTTGAGTGGTATGTTGGACCTTGAGAGGGAGCTGTAGGTGCGCGAGGAGTCGAGGGACTAGCTTGGGCCTTAGGCTTGGGTGTGGGGGCAGGTGAAGGTGCAGAGGCTGCTTTAGTTTCTTTCGGAGCTTTGCGCGGGCCTCTCGGTGGAGGAGCTGGCTGCTTGGGGTATTGGCGCCGTGAGGCTGCGCCAGCTGCCGACTTAACGGGCTTCGATGCAGCAGAACCCATTGAGAATGATGAGCTGTGGAATTCGGAAGTGTTGGTGGAAGTGTTGGCCGAAGGCGTTTTTTGCGGAGCTTTGAGCGGAGGTGCCGAAGTTGCCTTGGCATTCGATCTGGACGTCCGGGTCTTTTGCCAGCAGAACAGTCCAGACTTTTTGGCACCGGAGTATACAAGTCACATGAACTAGTACTTTTGAAGGTGTCGAAATACCCAAAGATGAGATAAAATATTAGGGATACTAGAGAAGCACTCTTTATGTACAGTTTGAGTTGAAATAAAGACCTCATCTCTGAGGCAGGAGTGCATATGCATACCATCCTGAGTAGGCGGTAAATAAAGCGGTAAACAAGTCCCTCAAAACGTGCCCTACCTTGTGACGTCAGAAATACATAGTCAACAAACAGCTCCCTCGTGAGTATAGATTATCTAGTGAGATTGACTGATGTATAGCAATACAATATATCTAAAATGTGAAGGTGAAGCTGAATGCTAAAATGAAGTCGATAGGAAGTATATGTTGGCGCGGCTGCGTATCTGAGGAGCTCCAACCAAACCCGTATTACAGACAATATGTAGGGAGATGATCACAATTGAAGGTCAGTGGAACTTTCGTGAAATTTCAGTGGAAAACTTGTTATTTTGTAAAAGACATACGGGGTACCACCACAGTTAAGATACAATACCACCGGAATCCAAGACCACACGGCGATTTGAGACCACCGTGAGAGTACATCCAGGAACACGGCAGATATATTTATGTATGTTCCGGAAGTTTACCGGAGACCAGCAAGGCGCCGGCCCTGCACTTCGCCCAGCGCACGGCTACCACTGATGAATGCGATCGCACCGACAATAGCCATCGCGGGAAGGATCTGGAACAAGTTCCACGATGTGTAGTAGAGGAAGAAGATCCCCTCAAATGCGATCAAAGATCCGAGGAAGACGGCGTGTGAGAGGGGGGCGGACTTCAATGCGGTGGGAAGGTGGTTAATGTTGGCGCCGAGGAAGAGCCACTAGAGACAACCTGTAAGCAACGTCGTTTGCACAGCAATGATATCAACTTACCAAGCCAGCAAGAGCGGGAATAGCAGCGCCGACCATGGCAACAAATGTCAGGGTGATGACAATTGGTGGGCTAGACGCAGAATCCTTGAAGATATGGTGGATCTCGGGCTTCTTGCCATATCGCTCAGTCTCAACGGTCGGCACGGCCTCTTCGGGGTTATGATCAATCGACAACTTGAACACAGAGCTGTCGTAGGCAACAGAGCTTCCGAACCCACCAATGACGATATGCGCATCAACTGGGCCGGACAGGGAAAGGAATTGAATCGGCAGGTCTTTCTGGGTCTGGAGAGCATTTGTTAGCTGCGCCGCGGAAACTCGTTTGCGGGGGTTGCATACCAATTCGACTCTTGACTTGCCACTATCCTTGACACTGAAAGGGTAAGAGATATCCAATCCAGTCTGAGCATCCTTGAGCAAAAGGAAAACCTGGTCTGGTCGCTTTGCAGAGCTGTCTTCCTGGGTTGTCAAGGTGACGCGTAGTGTATCGGCACCGAAAAGGGAGATGGGTTTGGAGAGCGGCTTGGATGCAGTAAATCTATTTTAAGTGTTTGATTAGTTTCATCTACCTTGTATTTGAGTCGAAATGCATACTGTTCCTTGAAACCTCCATTGACACCAGCACCTTTTGCTTGAACGGCCACGGTGGCATCAGTAAAGCCCCAAGCTGTGGCAGCAGCTCCAGGCAAGGCAGCTGCAGCCAACAGGCAGAATGGAACGGTGGCCTGCCACAGATGCATTGCGAAGGAAATAACTAAAAGAAAACAGAAATAACAGAAAACAGCTGTAGAAGCTCGGGGAGATGATGGAGGATGGAGGAGTTGCAGAATAAGGCGGACAAGTGAAGCCGATAAGCGCCGATCAATCGTAGCCCTAATTTCTTTTCTGCTTGACCTCAACATCTTCCATCACTTTATTTCGCCTCGTCTACCTCAAATACAACTCCAACGTCCGCCTAGTCCTTACCAGCCTGTTTATGAACCCTTTAGAAAATAACCACGGATGGTTGTACCTCTGATCCCGTGAGTACTGCGCCTATAAGTCGGGCCCTAATTCCCAACTTCTCCCCTTCCGCGCACTGCGGCCTTCTGACGTCGACCCTGCACTTCACCTGATGACCCCATATATTCTTATTCCCACCCCCTAGTCGCCTGTTATTGGAGGTATTATCTAGTCTTCCATTTGTACAGCTCGTTTGACCTATTTACCACCTGCTGTATTTGCATGGATAGATTATAACTGACAACTTCCGGGCCATTTAGCTTTAAGTCACGATGCCTCCCAAGAAGGGCCAACGTAAGTCGATGCCGGCGCGCATCAATAAAGCGCCTACATTGACACCTTCACGGCGCTCCCCCGAGTACCTCCCTCATCAAAAAGTACGAATGAGAACGTGCAACCCGCCAAACCGTTAGACCTTACATCCACCTCACCTCAAGACACTTCTATCAACATTCGTTTTTACACTCCGAACACACCTCTTCCAAGTAATTCGTCTGTCCCAAGTCCTAGCCCACGTGGGAAATCTCCTGAAACACCTTCCTCACGTCGAAGGACCTTTCAGTCTCGTCCGTCACGTTTGTCAAACGTTTACACGCCAACCCTAGAAGCCCCGCCCACCAACCCGGGTAGTCGACGAACGAGAAGAACAGCTGCACTTGAAACACCCAAGCAGGAAGTCTCAGATATTGATTTCCCAGAGAGTACTGGTAGCGCTAGCTGGACGGTTGATCAGTACATGGGCAGTGTTGAATCCGAAGGAACAGCTGATGGTCCCTCGAGCCCTACCAGTGCCTCCGACATGCGGAACTCATCCCGGGTTCGTAAGCCCACCATGAGGGCCCTTGAATCTTTTGAATCAAGTAAGAGGAAACCTCGCCGCAAAAACATGACAGTGTCCACCCCGACCGTGGAAACTCCTGCCCCTGCTACTCCTGCTCCCTCTGCTGTCCCCGTGCCTACCAAGGTTGTGAAGAACAATGTATCGAAGCAACCAATGAGAAAAACCAGAAAGTCAAAGAGAATGTCCAACTTGAACATGCGAAAGAATGCTGTCCTGATCGGTTGTGATATTGACGTGAAAGTCGCTGGCAAGATACTGTATGACTTAACTATCCAGTCCCTCAGCCCTGACTTTACTCTCCCTTCCAATTTCCCTGCCTTCTTGGAGCAACAGCGAAGTGAATACTTCCGTCGTCAAGAGGAAGAAAAATATGGCGTCGACGTGCCCACCATCAAGACCACCTCGCCAAGTGATGTCGATCTCGACGTCGAAATGATTGACCGAGACACCCCACCACCTGTAATCGCTCCTTGTGCTCCCACCCCACCTGCTCCTCCTGTTGCAGTCACCAACGGCGAAGTCACCAACGGCACAGTCACCCACGATGCAGTCACCAAAGATGTAGCCACCAATGATGCAGCAACCAACGGCTCAAGCATCCTAAGCTACAAAAAGAGGTCTAAGACCAAGGTCGACAGCGATGGCTGGATTCAAACTGGCTATGTCAACTCCAGTGGTGAAGAGGTTGCTCTGATCCCTGAAAAAAGCCACCCATATTATCCCCCTCACACTTACGGCTACGAGGGTCTTCCTTTCCCCCGGTGCGCGCCAGAACTACCCAGCAAGCCGAGGCCGATGCCGCCCACAGCTTCGCTCCACTCATGGGAGACCGTAATCTCCCATTTGATGCGACAGCCCCATTCGTCACTGAAAATGTGGAGGAGGAAAAGGCCAGGGCTCTTGCTCGGACCCCTGCGCCAGCCCCTGCGGCCAAGAAACCCCGCGCCCGAAAGCGCCGTCAGACTGCGGCTGCAGATGCTACGGATAAGCCCGCCTCGCCAGTCCCCACCGCTACTGCCGAGACCGGCGGACGCAAGTCACAGCGTCGCCGTCGCCAGACTGCCCCTGCCCCCACCGTCCCCTCTTCCGCTTCTCCTACTTCTCCCCCGACCACTGCGACCAAGGTCCAGTCTTCAGGCCTAGCTGCTGCTGTCGCCCCCGCTGACACCGAAGGTGACAAGCCTAAGGTGCAGCGGCTGCGACTGACCTTGAAGCCGGCGCCTAAGACTGAGGCCTCCGGGGCTAAAGCACCTGCTTCCAACCCCGCCGTGCAGTCCCCTTCCTCCCCCGCCCTCTCACGTGCGCCGTCCTCCGCACAAACCAGCAAGCGCCGCCGCCGCCGGGCCATGTAAGGCCCTGGTGAGGGCAAATTTATGTTTCCCGCCCGGCCTTAGCCGGGCACAGTTGTTCATATTCGGTTTTTTTTTTTCTTTGTATGATTACCAGCCGGCGTTTCAAGCATGTATGATTAGCACCGCGGGAGCATACCATGGAGTTTACCATGGTGAATTGTGAATTTCTTCAGTTATCTTTGTTGTTTTCCATTAGTATTGCTTTATTTTGTAATCTTGTAATCTTGTAGTCTCCATAAATGGAAGCCCACATAACTCTAATATCTCACGCAGATAGTTTCTTCCTCACATTCCACCGAGCTTCCGCTTACTTTTAGCTTACGTTGCATTTGCCTAGTGCAATCATAGTTCCAGTAAGTACTGGAGACAACTGTGATGGGTATGTATGATGTACGCAATCTGCTTGAGAAGTAACTTTCATCTAGGGTGATCTTAAACCAAGGGCATCGTATTGGACAGTTCGAATTTATATAATCAACTACCTTAACCTACCTAGATATGCAGAGAACAACCAAGCTACTACCAAGTTCTTATCCCACTTGGTTCTAAAACAAAATATCTTAATATGTCTTACGCAAAACTAAGGATTCCAGCCACTGGAAAGGCGCGTGTAAAAGGACCAGGCTTGTTCTTCTTAAAACCAAGAAGCTTACACTTCTATATGTCAACCAACAGCATTTAATACCTATATATAAGCATGGAACATGGATATTGAGCAAGCTCAATGAAACCAGACCGTTGTTCGTAGATAATTTGAGCTTAACGGGGTTGGGGTAGAGAGGTATATTTTGCAGAAGAAAAACATATAAATTAAAAGATTTCGTACATATTTTTTGTGCTTTCTGGATCTATTTTCACTCGAATACCATATAACTTCCATTATCTATCGACCGCATCATCAGTGGTTGAAGGACAGCCTATATTTCATGAGCTACTCTTCCCAATGTAGTTACATTCATGCCTCAGGCGCTAACACCTCCCGGAATCTTCCCTCAAAAGAATTCGCATCGTCCAATGCATCAACCAAAACATATAAGCACGCCCCGACAATTTCTTCTGCGTTCAAATTTATCTAATAAAAGTCAAGAATAATGGTATCCATCAAAGACCAGAACAGATACCGATCCGTGGATCCCAAAACTCGGCCTCCACGCCCAGTCCAACAACCCGCTCCTTCGCCGCTCCCAAAGGGGGTGGATGATATCCGGAAGACGAAGGAGTACAAGGCTGCTGCACGGAGGTATGTGCTACCCCTCTCTGTCCTCTTTTTTTTTTGCTTTGGTCGTTCGATGGCAAATGATACATGACAACAATGAGAAATCTAATCCTCTTTCTAGATGGACGACGACTATCGTCGGTCTACCAATTTTAATGTACACATCGTACATTCTTTATGAGCGGCGTGAGTTATTTATGCTTAGGAAATCTCAACCTTCTTTTGATTGTACATACACTAACTTATTTCCCTTTAGTCTATGCTGGCAAGAGTCCCAAGCAGCTTGGAGATGTGCAGGCACGGAAGGACTAACTCACTTCTCTTTGTTTTTAATTCTTCTGAAAGCGGAGTTATATGTACGATCTGAACAAAAAGTGGTGGTTGAGAAACTTCACAACTGTATATAAAAAGTCTTAGCAGAACCTGTCTCTTCTCATCTCTATCCAATGCAGTAGCAGTATCTTAAGGGGAAAAGTCACAAATCCGATTTTAATGCAGTTCATTGCATTCATTATAAACTCCAACGCCGGAAGTCTCAGTATATATCCATGGCTATGGGTAGGTGAGAGCAACCTACCCAGCCCAAATAACATGAACAGAAGAAAGGTACAACATTCAGATGCATCGTTCCCAAGTTTGGAAGTTTTGCTCCAAATCCTCCCCACATTGCCAGCCCGCTGGGGTAAAAAGCAAGAAGGAAAAAAAGTATGTAAAATCCAAGGGACGTGTCTGGAAGAGATCATCTAAAACCCGAAGTGGCAGGAAGGGTAAGGCGGGGAAAAGAGATCGTATAGCTGTCATAGTATTGAACCCCAGGCAACGATCAACTGGCAACGCCTTGGAAAGGAACATGTTGATCACCTGAGCCAGCCGACTGCGGCATAGATATCGAGTTACTGCCAGTGCTAGCGGGCTTCGAACTACGTTCACGCATGCGACGGCCCTCCATGAGACCACGCAAGCCGCGCTTCTGGAGACCGATAACGCTGCTTAGATCACCGGTCCAAAGCTCACGCTGGGGGCGACGCAACTCGGTGTCTGTGTCACGGCGGTGATGGGTAGACCGAGACTGGGAACGGCTTTCATCGCCACTGACCCATTCGGAGTCGGACTGGCTGAAACTAGCGCTGGACGCGGATGTCGCTGTGCTCGGATTACTGATGGAATCCTCGCGGTCGCGGCGGGCGTTGCGGTGGCGGGAATTCTGGGAGACACTGGTGTCGATGCGGAGAGATGGAAGACCTCGAGCGAAGTTGGTGAGATCGCCTGTGCTGCTCGCTGCTGATGCGGAGGCAGCACCGTGCTCTGTGTCGGACGAGCCCGATGTGAGTGCACCGTGTTGGGAGTTGCTGTTCTCGCCAACTGTGGGCGCAGTGCCGTTGTGGCCGGTATAAGCTCCGTTCAGAGCCTCCAGTGTACCTCCTGGTCCGCCATTGAATCCAGTACCACGACCACCGCCGGCAGCCATGGCAGCTGCGTTGAATACGGCCGCGGCGTTGCGCCCATCGAGAACTTGATGGAGTCTTTCGACGGTAGCTTCTAGTAGTCCGTCGATCTGGTACGGACGTGCAAGCTGTAGAAGGGAGCAGAGAATTTGTGGTGTGCAAAGCGAGGTGCCTGCGGGTGGAAGGGCTGATGTGTAGAGGTATTGAACCAGCACCTGGAGAGTCAAAATGGTATGGGGGAGGTAGAGCACACGCGGACGGGAGGTTGGGGCGAGGCTGTGAGCAGAAGGAACTTCGAGATTCTCAAGCAGAGACTTCGAAGGTACAGACTGATTGACAAGAGTTGTTGCATCGGAGCCTATCGAAGGAGTGATGGTAATACTCGAGTTGCGGCTTGGGTGTGTCTGGGCCGGACGAAGAGTTCCGATGTCTGCAATACCTCCGTCCGACGACTCGCGGAGGAGTTGGATAAAGTAAGGACCCCAGCGTCGAGTCAAGATGCGGGAGTTGACGGAGATACGCTCTCCCCCGACAGCCTGCAACTCCATGTCGGCCATCTCTGGCAAAGTTTGTGCGAGTTTGCCTAGCTCATCGGATGCGGCAGACAATGGCCGCCCACCTGATGTCAACTGAACTAGTTTCTTCTGCAAAGATGCTGGAACGGAAGAGGAGCTATAAGACTTGTATCCTGAAGTTGGAGAAGTGCGGCAAGAATTGTTGTAGAGTCCAAATGCCTCCAGCTCGACCAGGCAAACGTGCGAAAAGTTGATTCGTCGGTGGTTGTAATCATCGACAAGGCTTCGCTTCCTGTGTCCAAGAATCACAAAAGAATTACGCCGAGCCCAAAGCACTCCTCGGTTCCAGCTACCCTGTCCAAATACCGATCCTCCGGCATCAATACGGCCCCAAGTCAATGTCTTTAGGTCGAGAGCCCACAGCGCATATTCTTGCTTTGATGAAGTCAGGTAAGTACCACTAACAACGAAGTGGCCATTGATGATGCCACCATTTGGGAATCGCAGTCCCGGAGGTGATGCTTGGCTCTGCATAGGTCGTTCGACAAGGCGTCCGTCCGGCAGGCGCACCTGCAGCTCCAGCTTGACATCAAGGAAATTGTAGTTGGAGTATATCAGCATGGGGCAACCTGGCGATTCAGTGCTATCTTGAATCGGCTCATGTTGATCGCGGTCTGGAGCTGAGGATCCAATTTCGGACACATCCATTCCCACCAGAGGAGCTACGACACTGCGATAAGCACCGCAGCTCCTTCCCAGGGGGCTAGTGTTGGTCCACTTGAGGCTCCGCAGGTTGAAGACACTGATTTGTTCGATATAATGATTGGAACTATCCTGGCCACCGACCACAACCATCTCTGCACCTCCGAAGCCGTCAATATCCACGCCGAGTGTACCTTGATGACTGGAGGATTCGGGATTATTGTGGATGGCGGATAGTGGTGCACTTGCAGATGTGAAGCAAGCGCTCGACGGTAGGATCGTAGCACAGTGTGCATAGCGCCCCTGGGGAGATTCATGAGCAGCAACACGCGTCCATGACCTCGATGGTACATCGAAGATGTGAATATCCGACATAACCACGACTTCCGATTGTGACTGCGATGGCGGTTCCGCGGGGTTCTCGGGGTCCTTTGGCGTAGTTGGTGCAGGTGACATGCCTCCATAACAGACCAACTTGTTATCCCCCAAAGCACACACACTGTGGAAGTACCGCGGCGGTGGAACATCTCCAGCGGGCTCTACCTTCGTCCAATGTCGTCGAATCAAATCCAATTCGTAAAGGTCGGAGGTGAGTTGAGGGCGGCTGCGCGAGAGGATCCGGCCTCCGAACACGTATAGCTTATCGCCCAGTATGGTCGTGGTGGCACCGACGAGAGGACGGGGTTCCTTGCCAGTCGTTCGCCGCACGTTGCATACCAGACCAGATAGATTGATAGGCCCAGAGGCAGACTGCTGGTTCAGGGACGGCGAGGCTCCCGGCGCAGAATCCTCTCGCCCTGAATCCATATACCCCAGACTCGACTGACTTCGAGACATCATGGTGGGCGAATTTCCTGTCCCCTTTCAACGGAGACAATCGTGTGGGTAGCCGTTGAGCCCCTGTTTCAGTTCACCCAATATCACTGACATACGATGAGGCGTTGTTCTCTCGAATGCGGTATTCCCGGAGAATATTCCCGGCGCGGATCGTGTCTGGTACGGCTCGAAATGGTGGTTTGTGGGGGGGCCGAAAAAGGGGGTGGTTCCCCGCGACGCCGCAACTTTCGCAGGCTTCACAGTCTTCACAGTGAGGAGATGAACAAAAAAAACTAGACAATGCAGACTACTGCCGATCGTATGGATGAGCGCGCACAGTCTTGGCCGAAGTGTCAGCCGTCGAGTTTGGAGATCGGCACAAAAAGTGTTTACCGCTTTTCTCTTTCACATGCCCCTCCAATCTAGAGCCTTCAAGAGATCAAGTTGGAATTTATATCTTCTATTTGAATGGGAATATCCTTGGTCCTGTATAGAAATGCACTTCACCTGAACCTCTTCCTAGTATCTGCGGTGCTAACCTGCTCAACAACATATAACTACCACACACTACTAATAACCATGAGTTGGGGAGCATACCAAGAGAGGTTTCACGAGCGGAGGTAATAATGATGAGATTGAAAGAAGCCTTCCGCCGTCATTTATGCCGATCTCGGTGAGTATTTGCTGGCAGGTCTTTCAATATTTTTCAAGAATCATCTAGTGCAGCACAGTGATCATCAACACGCACTATACATTCCTTCCAATGTTCCAAGGTCTTAAACCATCCTCGTCATAACTAAACCCAGATGGGCTAAATACATGGTGACCTCCCTCTTTCAATATATCGATGCTCTTTGCCTCCTGGACTACCTGTTGTGGGACACTTTGACGCAAGATGTCTTTGGTATATGCTGCGGAAACCATTACAGCATACCACTGCCAGTCCATGTTCTTATGCGTGTCTGCATGGTCAGAAATGCTTCGGATCACAAGGCAGGGAAAGTGATTCATCATCCCAACTTTCCATTTCAATACACAAATATCCTATCGCGCAGCCACTTCATCTCACATTGTAGCGTCCTTTATATCCTGATTAGCGGAGGCGATTAGGCCGTAATGAACTGCTGGATTATCATCGTATTCCGGGTGTGGGGACCTCGAAACCGGGCAAGATAGATCGTCGCCACATAATACAGTACAAGGCGATTCACTATCCGTGGAATGGAGAATGTGACTTCGATATAGCCGATCACTTGCTGGATCTGAGCACTGGCACCTCTCCCGTAGTCGCGGTTTCCTCTCAATGATCTCGTTGAACGCATCATCGAGTTTCTTTCCTTCGTGCTCATATTGAGCCTGAAGTCCATATACTGCGCGTCGGATGGGTGGCTGATCAAGAAAGCCAAGGGACTTGAAGCTTGTGCCTTGTACAGTCTTACCAAATTGACATTGAAGGACAACACTTGGGCAGCCACATATTCAGCGGTGATGGCGCAAATACAACCTACAGTGTAGTCCTCCGGGTTAGGCATCGTTGAAGGAGGATCTAGCCTTGTATCCTCTGCAATATTTTGTATTCGACATGCTAGATCAGCGGTCTGACAACTTTCATCCACGATCGACTCCCCTCCTTTCTTAGTTCCTCCAATTCGTCCCCTCTTGATCCATTGGAATCAGGGAAACTCGAAGACAATTCCTTTGAACTGCTAGCAAAGTAGCGGTTTTGTTAAAAATGCTGAGAGTGCCAGACCCTCTCTTCGCGCGATGGTCGTTCATTATCAGAATCCCCTGGAATTTCATTTTGGACTAGCCATTCGTAAACCTTTTCAGAGCTGTCGCGAATCCTCTCATACCTCTCTTGTCCGTTATCATTCACCCATGGCACTGCCCGGAGGGAGAACGAATGGATCTCCTTTGCTATATGATTGAGAAGCACATCATTCTCCACCATGACTTTTTCTTCTTCTGGCCAATTACACAATGGGCAGCGTTGGATTCCTGCCGGTGTGGTCTTCCTGGAAAGATCACAGAGGATTGGAATCTGGTCTGGTGGAATGGTCGTTGCATGATCCGACTTCGTGTGCTGCACAAAGGCACTCTTGTCATTGAATTGCGGCCCATCACCACAAGCAAAGCAAATCCTATACATCAAGCTGCTATGATCCTTCAGAATAGGCTGTCACCAAGCTTCCTTTGTATTGAAAAGGACATGCAGTTGACCGCAGTCGGCCACAATACAGGTGTAAAGGCTCATCATCTGCGATGTGTTTCCTATTATTATTATTAGTCTAAGTGTTATCGAAGTAATGTCAAGAACATTACCTCCACCTGTTTTTGTTTGCCATCTCTACCGGAAATACTTCGCAGCAATGTGACACCGAAAGAGATGCGCATCGTTTTTGAATCGAGGTGGGCTCGGACAATTTAGACGCACTGGTTCCAGTTATGATTGTACTATTGGCGTGTGTTGATCCATCATTTAAGGGTTTCGAATCTGTGCTTCCCTGGACCATCTTTTCTTGCGCCGATCCAACTTTCTTCGGCGCAGCCGTGGGACTTTCACGTCATGTAGGGCCAGCATCCAGACCCCTAGAATGTTGCTGTGCATCCAGAAAGCGACCCCAACGTTTCAGATCACAGCATATCAGTCGCAACTGAATTTCGTTCAATTTTGATGGCTCTCGTTCTTGGGGGCAACACTTCAATTGAGTGAGCAACATTCCGACCAGGTGGCCCTCCAGTTTCTCGTGCCCTGTTGTGTCGAATCACTAGTCGGCCGTTTGCAACCGTGAGCGCATCTCAGAGTGACGAATAGCAACCGCAATCCGGGCAAATTGATCTTGCATCGATTCGATGTTATACATTGACTCCCGCAATGGATTTGCATGTATCATTTTCATGTATTTAAGGACCCTATGAATTGACTAGATCTCAGGTGATTTGATTCAATTGGCACCTTAATTTACACATTGGTTCAAGCAAATTATCACAAATTATTCAAACGGGTGACGATGCACTGCCATATCATATACTACGCACGCTCTATTGCATAGTGCCATTCCAAGGAAGTTTTGAGATATAAGTCTAGAATTACTGGGATGGACAGTCCGCAAATATTTCAATGTATTAGAAAGAGGAAAAGCACTATCTGAGAAGCTACGACAAGATGATCTGGGAGCAAACAGGTAGTGGTCACACGACTACAAAAGCGCATTATTAAAAGGGATGGCGTGAGTAGGTTTCATTAATTTCAGGAAATTATGTCCCCAAGTATTATAGAACCCGTTTTATCATTCTAGCATCACATCATAAGACCCCGTTTACTGATCCTTAAGAGTAGTGAAACGAAGGTAACTATAACATGTTAGTATCTGTTTCGAATTAGCAGTTGGACATGGAACTTACGGCTTCACTTCACGGATCTCGCCGAACTTCTTCTTGGCATCCTCGGTGCTAACTGTTGGTGGCACAATAACGTCATCGCCCGCCTTTGATCGAGTTAGTAAGATACTTCGCATAGTTTCAAGGCTTGGGTTGCGGAGGACAGGGGGGGTCATACCAGCCAATTGATCGGGGTGGTTACACCTCTCTTATCAGCGGTCTGGAGAGAGTCAACAACCCGGAGAACCTCAGCTGTGTTACGTCCAGTAGAGGCAGGGTAGGCCAAGATCAGGCGGATCTTCTTGGCAGGGTCGATGATGAACACGGAGCGGATGGTGAAGGCGATGCCCTTGCTGTCCACATTCTCCAAATCTTGAGCATCAATCATGTCGTAGAGGAAGGCGACCTTGCGCTCAGCATCTGCGATAATTGGGAATTGGACTTGAGTCGAGGCGACTTCGTTGATGTCCTTGATCCACTCCTCGTGGGAATCAAGTGCGTTGGCACTCTGGAAAGACGGGCGAATTAGCTAATGCTTGAGAGTTATCCGTCTTAGAGACTCACCAGTCCAATCAACTTAACACCACGCTGGGTGAACTCGGGCTCGAGCTTGGCGAAGGCGCCGAGCTCAGTGGTACAGCTATTGAGTGTCAGTAAAACGCTTCGCGGGGTTGAAGAGGGGTTGGGCACAACTGACACTGGTGTGAAATCCGCAGGGTGTGAGAACAGAATAGCCCACTTGTCGCCAATCCACTCGTGGAAGTCGATCTCGCCCTTGGTGGTCAGAGCCTTGAAGTTGGGGGCAGTAGAGCCCAGGCGGAGGCTAGCATACAGTTAGCATTGCGTAGATGCCTCAAAAAGAGACCATATGAGCTTACGGAGGAGCGCGGTCAGCCATTGTGATTAGATAGGTAGGTAGAAAGGTATATTGTAGATGAAAAGGAGAGAGGGAAAGAAGAACAACCCGGCGGGATACAAGGTTATAAGATGATGATCCCCCTCCGGCTTTCGCATAGATACATCTCATCATCCATGGGTTTGACCCCACTTAACCTCATCTGGCTGGACTGCCCCACCTGAACTGCATTATTGATGGCGTGATCATTGTTTCCGCCCGGCAGAACGTCCATGATTGGTGAATATGCAGCATCACATAACGTGGGCTGTTTAGCGTGTGTGATGCAATATCAACTGTGGATGAGCACTTCGGGTTCCTTGGGTTTCCAACTTTGACCCCTCAATCTTACCCCTCAACCTTATGTTAGAATGAACCTACGATCCTGCACTCCGTACCTGGGTTGTTTTATATTGTAACATCTATAAATGGTTCTATATTGTAGGTGGTGGGTTTTGCCCATAAGATACATATGCATAGTATGTAGTACTATGATATCTTAGCTTTGTCGAACGATTTCCCCTGCTATCCAGTGACCTTGAACGCAAATCGCGAACTATATACGAAGTACTTGAGCGGGAAATGGTAAATCACGCAATTCTTACAAGACGACTTTGCCATACTTTACCAGGGTGGCTCAACAGTGGCATCAGAGGTTTGTATTTCTTCTACTCTTTCAGCTAGGATACAGCTTAGCCTATTACTTTTTTCCAGTCGCATTGCAATCAATCAGTTCCTGTTGATGGGAAAAAACATAGAAAGAGGCGTATCCATGAATATATACGTGGCTCTTTCCTATGTGGCCTCAAAATATAGATAGAAAGGTTAACGATCAGAAACGAAGCAATGATATGTGCAAGCTGCCTATCACGGCGTGATTCCTGGTTGGAGACCTACCCAAAGTTTTTGAAGTGCTAGTATATTAAAAATTTCAAGTCTGCAGTATTGATTGTAGTGTTAAAACTACATATGTATATTTGGGGACCTTCATAGCGAGTCACTTTCAAGCTTATTCGGCCGACATGACTCTCTCTGATCGGCACCAATGGAAACCCAAAGCGATGGCGCAATATCACCTTTACATGACAAATCGTCTATAAACTGACATCAAACCCAATAGAGTGCATTAAGTCAAGATTGGCTTTGTATGCAGGTCTGTCTGCTCCCTCCAGGCAGATTGTCCGAAATACCACATAAATAATCCAACATTCTACTCGGTAGATAATGGGGATTTGGCCCACATACATACGTAGTGGGGCTAATTGCATGTACCACATACATCATCTGGAAGTACGTCCGTCCAACATATTCTATACAGTGGCCTCCAAGTGTAATATTACCTTAACACTATAGAATTAACAAGGTTACCTTAAAGCTATGACACAGTACAGTATTCATAGGAATACCTTCATTGGAAAAGACTTGACTCAAAGTGACGGACTAAGCCGAAGGGTAACTAGCTGGTGCAACCTCATGTATGCGAATGGACCTACGATGAGCTTAATTAACACTATTTGATTGCTTTGAAACATTTTGAGTCAACTCAGTCTCTGCCCAATAAATCTTCATATTTTATCATACATCTATTGGTAGCATCTTAGATGTTCGATTGATTCCATTAAATATAGATAGATCTGGACTTTGAGTTGCTGTTCAGACTACCCCGAGGGAGAATACTCGCAGTGAGTCACTTACTCCAGATTAGGTAGAATATATGTCTCCTTCGCAATCATAATATGCACAACGTATTCTCTTTCGAAGAATTTGACATAATCTGCAACCTCAACATGTCTTTCTCAGAACAACATTAATCTCCTCATTTTCGCATTGATTTTGTTAAAGTGAGAGCATTCCAGGCGGTTCAACTTTGGAACCCGCACAAAACAGACAGTCTAACAGGTTTGTACCTCTAGTGGAAATACCTGAGTGTATAATTATGCCTTGAATATTGATAAGAATTACTGTTGGGAGCAAGTGAAAGGATCTTAAGAGGATAGTGAGGTCCTAATAATAGCTCTCAATGTTGTTTACCTGGAGAGCTGACTGTAGTGCCGATCATGATCGACCTCCATCACGTGCGACCCCAGACCCACATCCGCGTCAAGCTCAGTGCCAAACATTCCAGGAAACTCCTGCTCAACTTGATTTGATAGCTTCTCCAACAGTTCCAGGGAGCACAGCCCCATTAATTGTACAGTTTCAATTTAATTTCCTTGCCTTTTCTGCCTTTTTCTGCATATATTTGCCGCCTTTTACTGTCAATAAACCTGCGCAAAACAACTGGACAGTCATGCCAGCCAAGCGCAAGTCTGAACGCGCTGTGAGCGCAAATGAGTCTGTCGCAACGCCTTCCAAACGGCCCCGAAATACCGTAGATGCAACCCCAGCTTCTGCGCCATCGGCTTCAGTGGTAAGTGCACTATGCAGGGGCTGATCGTCGCGTCCCGTGGCTTCTCCACTTCAATTGTTGACACAGGGCTGACATCATTGGAACAGGTTGATGCTACACCTCAGACAGGTGAAAAGAGAGGCCGCGGCCGTCCACGCAAATATCCCGCCACTTCGACTCCGAAGCCTGCTTCTGACGCGCCTAAGCGTGGCCGTGGTCGCCCACGGAAGATTGTTTCTGAGCCAGCACCTGCGGCTGTAACCCCATCAGGCCCTAAGAGAGGCCGCGGGCGTCCCCGCAAGGACTCAGGTATGGAAAATACATTGACATGTTGTGGGTGGTATATGCTGACTATTGTACTGTGTTATCAGGCGATGCGACACCCGTCACCCCAAAGATCAAGAAGAAGGATGGCCGTGGAAGACCCCGCAAGAACCCTCTACCTAATGGAGAAGCCAAAACTGCTGAGCCGAAGGTCACACCTGTGGTCGACATCATCCCTGAAACTGGCCGCTCTTTCTGGTTGATGAAGGCCGAGCCTGAATCTCGCCTAGAGAAGGGCAAGGATGTGAAGTTCTCTATTGATGACCTGGCTGCTGCAGATGCACCCGAGCCTTGGGATGGTATGTCCAAACTATCTTGAATACTGCGTATAGTATCCGATTGCTAACAGCTGAACAGGTGTGCGCAACCATGTTGGTATGTTATCCTGTCAAAAATCATAGAAGCTTTCGCCATGAGAATTATACTTACAGTGAACTAGCTAAAAACCTCATGCGCGACATGAAGAAGGGAGATTTTGCATTCTTCTACCACTCAAACTGCAAAGTCCCCGGGGTTGTGGGAGTGATGGAGATAGTCCAGGAACATTCCACTGATGGTTCGTCGCCGAAAACTAAACTGCCTAATAATATTGCTAATACACGTCTCATAACAGAATCCGCTTTCGATTCAGCGCATCCATACTACGACCCGAAGTCCAAGCGAGATGATCCAAAGTGGGTTGTCGTCCACGTTGAATATCGCCGCAAACTTGGGAAGCAAGTCACCCTCCAGGATCTGAAGGCTCATAGCCAGACCGGAAAGCCGCTTGAGAATCTTCAAATGATTAAGCAAGCCCGGCTTAGTGTGTCTTCTGTGACCCCCGCACAATGGAAATACATACTGGAGCTGGCAGGCGAGGAACCGCAGGAGGAGTTCACCAAGAAGGAATCCAGCGAGAAGAATGAGTCCAGTGAGAAAGAGGAGTCCAGTGAAAAGGAAGAATCCAGTGGGAAAGAGGAGTCCAGTGAAAAGGAGGAGTCCAGCGAGCAGGAGGAGGAATAGGCACGAGAAAGCAAGCCGCTACATGCAAGCAATGCATAGAGAATTTTATTCCATATAATTCTCTTAAGTATTTCTATCGATGGCGTTGCTGGTTGAACATGGGTTATCTGCACAAGCGAATTGAAGCTTCTTTTACTTGACTCGATGGGTCCTCTAGAGATATCTGCAAGGTATAGACTCACCGGAAAAGTTCGACTCTCTTGGATCCATTCGCAACTGCAGCCATGTCACTGCCATATGGGCCAATCACATTGCATTTTAGCTTGACCAGTGCATTACATCCGACATTTCACTGTCCTAGTTTCGGTACGACGCTACAAATGCCCTGATAAGCGGCACTTCCGGGATGGTGTCACATCGCTTTACGGGACTGCCCTCATACATGGGCGCCAAGTTGTCCGCCAAGTCTACCGCACTTCCAATATATGCGACCGTTGCCTGCGCCGCCGGGACGAGCTGTGTCAGGATTTGTCTAGACCTTGAGAGACACCCGTCGGATCCTGTGGGTTTGATGCACAAGCGATATGCAAGGAGCCACGGAATACGGCTTGAGTACCCGGAAGCTAGTGGCAGCGAAGTACATACATATTCGATGTGTTTGACGCTATGTATGCCCCTGCAGCCCTGCAGTCCTCGAGTACTTTAGGCGTTAATGCATGGCAGAGAATGAATTTGACCTCGGAGTATTGATAAGCAGAAGTGAAGGCCCGGCAAGGGAATATCTAATACGCCGAATACGCCGAATCCGGACCCCGACACTGTACAGCCAACCAGAGAAGAAAAATAATGCAAACCAAACAAACAACTTGAGAAGAAATGGATCTTGACTCGGAAGAGAAAGTCGATCCGGAGTGTGGAGCACCCTGGGCATCTTTATCGGCTTATCAGGCGGGGAGCTCAACTTACAAACTTTCCAGCTATGGAGGCTTTCCCCTCTTATATTATTCCCCTCCCTCTCTCTCTCCATGTTCCGTATTCACCAGCGCTGTTTGTACAAAGTTTCATCAACTCTTACTAGCTCCATTAGCCCGCGTCGCCTATTTCACAGTTCTCCCTTCGTGATGTCTGACATCTCCGTGCAATTGACTGCCCCCAACGGGCGCAGCTATACCCAGCCCATCGGTCTCTTCATCAACAATGAGTTCGTGGCCGCCAAGTCTGGAGAGAAGTTTTCCACCGTGAACCCTGCGTATGTACATCGGAACTGTCTTATGGGACCCTCCTAATCGTCTGAGAGTTGAAGCTGACCGGATCTTCAGGAATGAAACCGAGATTACGTCAGTGTATG